TGGGAATCGAAATAATTTTAATTTTTCGCTGTGCATATATAAGTAGATTCCCAACAGAAAAAACATTGCTTTTATGAGGCAGAAGTGAAAGTGCACTGTGATTAAAGTATTCAAGCAATAAATTTTGCGATTACCTGAGAGTAGCAATCAATAGCAGTTTTGAAATCTTTGTCACGGAATGCCAGGTCTCCGCGTTTCCTTGCATCCAACATATCTCTCATTTGTTGGGTCCACTCTTGGAAAGATAACTATAGTGGCAAACGTGTATACCTTAAAACTGAATTACTATAGAAGCATTTACATAGGATCTTAGCTAGAATAAAATTACCTCATTAGTTCCTACGTCGTCTTTATAGTGAGTCATCACCAAAATTTGATGGATGGCTGTAAGATCCATACGTGAACAGGCATCACCCATTGGAGAGAGAGGATGTTGTGGGGTTGGTGGCGTTTCTTCCTGCTTTGAAATTCCCAACATCATGTGAGAAGGAACCTGCAATCAGCATTTTGATTTCACCTACTAGAGAAAGTAGTTTGTAGATATTTAATATGAAATGCTATCAGCATTTCCCCAAATTACACTTAATCACGTCTCTGTTTTCATCTAAGCATGACTTGATAAAACTAATACTTCATGTGAGTACCACTCCCCTCCCTTGGTCCCCTTCCCTCTGCGTGGCAAAATGAGAAAACATATCATCTGTTAAGGGATAATTCCAACAAACAACCAACATATGAGACCTTGGCTACTCCTCTTAATAAGGATTACATATTAACATGGAACCCCAACTTTTACTATGGTATCAGAGCAAAATAATGGTCTTGAATTGGAGTCTCGCCACCATCCATTTAAATAAAAATTATCCACATGGATGTTTTGTTGGAAAAAAAGAATTTTGTCTACATGTGAGGAGGCGTGTTGGAGATATTGTAAATGGTATATATTTGGCCTTATCAAATAGCTTAAGCTTCTATATCAAGTGTTTTGACATTATCCATTATTAGCATGCACCGACAAAAGAAAGCATCCAAGGAACAAAAAAGACACACTGAACCCATTGAAAGTGCAGAAAGAAAAACGAGACCTACATCAGGTTTATTTTGCAGTGGGGAAAGGGTAGAAACAAGATCTTTAGTTTTTGGCCGCTCTCTTGGTTCATATTGCAGACACTGTGAAGCAAGACCAAAAACAACAGTTGCCTCTTCAGTCGAGAAGTTCCCTTCCAAATGGGAGTCCGTCAAAAGCAGAATATTTTTACCTCGAATCATATCCAGTGCCTGAAAGGCACAACATGGAAACAGGTGCATGAAATCTTACAGAAATCAGATTCAAAAAATTCATTCTAATACAAGACACCAAGTGCTCCTCGTGTAGCAAAATGAGTGAATATTAAACTTAAATGAATTCTTTGTCTGATCAACTAGGAATAACAACTAAAAAGCATGGGCAACCTTCATTATCATATTCTCATATTTAGCAAGTTCAAGTGACACAGCAAGTCAAAATAAAATTTGAGGGCAAATTTGTAGCAGTAGAATACTATCAAGGACCATCAGATATCATTATCAGGGTGAATACCATGAAAATGGTGTTCCTGCAGGGCGAGGGGTTTG